TTCTCTTTAGAATTCTATTGAACTGCTTCCCAAGTAAAACAATTGTATTTGATAGTCCCTCATCAGTATCCAGGTTAGCTTGACCATATTTATCTTCAGCATTGGATACAAAATTAATGCTTTTGTTCTTCTTTTCAATTCTATCATTCAAAGTTAATTCAAATGTTTGAAGTGATCTCACTAGGTAATCAACTCTCATACTACTGCTGTTTTGAGCTTCTTCAATCGTTATGACCTTCATGTCAAATTTCTTAGGAAGAGACCTAAGAATCTCATTCACCAACTTCTCCTCTAATATATTTTCTCTCAAGGTACTAAAGACATTAGCTATTTCAAGCACATTCATGTGAAAGTCATGGATACTTTCATCTTCTCCCCTCTTCATATTCTCAAATTTGGTAGTGAGAAGCTGAAGTCTAGGAATCTTTACCTTGAATGTTCCTTCATGGGTTGTCTTGAGAATTTACCAAACATCCTTAGCCACAGTACAAGTGTTGACCAGCCTAAACATGTTCTTGTCAACTCCATTGAATAAAGAATTCAATACTTTGGAGTTTACAAGAGTTGCCTCATCTTCCTCCTTGGTCCAATCCTCTTCTGACTTCAAGGATTCTTTTCCATCTTCATCCTTAACCGCAAGGTTCTCCAAACCCTTAATGATAGCCTTCCAAGTTTTGCTATCCATAGATTTTAAGAAAGCCACCATATGTGTCATCCAATAGTCATAATTAGTGTCATCTAAGACTAGAGGCATATTAACGTTTCCTCCTACTTCCTTGTCCATAGTACCAGAATACAAACTCCCTGGAGCTCACAAAAAAAAAACAGGGTAACCTACTCTGATACCAATTGAAACTCTGGCACACAGATACCAGATGTCGAGACAGATGTCACAACACCAGGATCAACAACAACTTGATCACACAAGTAAAAGATGTAGAAAAATAAATGACATAAACGTAAAATTAACACCAAAATTGTTAACCCAGTACAATGCAACTCACCTATATATAGGGGCTACCAAGCCTAGAAGGAAATTCACTATGATAGTATTAGTTTAAAGTTAAACTCGTTCATTTACAACTTCTCGTCTAATCCCTATCTTGTGCAACTTCTACCTAGAAATCTCTAGATATGAGATCCCCATCTCACATCCTAATCAGTCACAATCTCAGTGACAATTAAATACAATAAACAATATAAGTAGTACATTTCCAAGACAATATTTGATCTTGCTTAAAAAATTTCAATCAAGAACAATACACTCTTACTTAAAAGCTTTAGACTGAACAATGAACAATGAATAATTAGTCAACCCCAATGTATCAAAAGATATATGAGTGACATACAGTTAGCAATCACTAAATCCTAAAGACCAACCAAAACAATGACTAATCCTTATTTCCAAAATTCTTCATGTTGTGCTCTCTACATCAATAGGGTCTGGTCTTCACTTTAATAGCCTTCATACCTAATGGACTTGGGCATCTTGAGGCGCACAAATAACAACAATCAGTTTTAACTCATTGCAAATCAACCTGCATAATAATAGGAGTAAAGTATTAACTTTTCTAAAAGGGCTCAAGGAACCTTTTTATAAAAACTAACAGAATCTGACATAACAGAAATTCCCACAATATACTCCTAAGAAAGTCGCCCGCGTGTGCATCAGAACACACTAAAAAATCACACTAAAAATACCAAAATAGTCATGCCCTTACTTTTTGGTATAACATGTCATAACATCATGCATAACATGATGTCTGATTGTCATGAAAGAACATCTGGTTCAATATCTTGCTAACAACATGTTTTACCAAAATATAGTCAATCCAAAAAACACAGAACTTACACACTGCACATTAGGCATGGTGATAATAAAACATACCATCCACATGTTTGACATGCACGTCCAAATCTCCAGTCTCATTGTAGTTGTATAACCACTACAAGAAAATTAACAAGTCGCGACGGTTCAGTTCGGCAGATTACAACGGTTCCAACCGCCTTAATTTGCATGTCGCAACAATTCTATCACAAAATCGTGTCGTGCAATGGTTTCTAAAACCGTCACTCCAATGATCATTGAAAGTTGCAACAGTTAGGAAACTGGCGTAACGACGGTTTGGACCATCGTAATTATATTTACTAGTCGCGACAACCATCATTTTATCTATAATATTTTTTTAATAATATTTTTTTTTTAAATTAAATTATTTTCCTCTCAATTTTTTTATAATATTATTTTTTATTTAAATTATTATTGATTTTTGATAATATTTTATTTAATTTTCTATCACTTTTCATCATAATAAAATTTCGATCACTAACAGACGCCATTATTCTTACCGAGAGGAGGTTTCAACACCACTACTACCTATAATCCATCTAATGGAAATGTATATAATGCCTAATATTTTGATACCTACTAACCCAGGCAATTACAAAACCCGTGACTTTGGAAGTATGAAGTACCAGAGAAGTTATATCTACATCACAAGGATATATTAAAATGGCATTAATCCAAATAAAGATAATTGATACAATTTTTACAACAAAAAAAAGATTAATATAAAAATTTAGCAAGAAAAGAATAAAGCTCCTAGTTCGTAGCCACTAACAAAAGCATCCATTGATACAATTGCATCATTTATAAAGTCTAACAACTTCCGAGCTTTATTGAGAAATTTGGTCCTAACAAAAGAAGAGGAATCCTGTTATACAAAAGAGGTGCATCAAAAACTAAAAATTAATAATATAATAGTTAGATAAAGGAGAATCAATAAACAATTATTTGTTTACGTAAAACCCATAAGTAATAACTTTGGATTAACGTAGAACTAAAAACACCTATATGTGTTTTCTTTCTTTGATCTTCTACAGAATTTATGATTAAATATGAATAAGAAAAAAATGGTAAGGTTTGAATAGAGTAATTATAAAAATAAATAGATAAAGTGAGCTGAAGTGAGAGATTAGTTACCAGGTCCAGGTTAGATAGTATTTCCTACCACTTAACTTCTTTTGTGAATCAATAACTGATTCAACTAGTACACCACCAACTTTGCTTGCAAAGCTTGAGTCAGTTGATAACCAGAAAGGGGAAAATCATATTCAGGAAAGTTTAAAAAAAATCACAATTCATAAGTGAATAAGCAGCATCAACTATCATGATTCATGCCACTAAACAAGGACTAATTACTGTTTGGATTCACGTTGCCACTAATCATACATTTGAGTACAAACCAATCTTTAATCCTAAAATAACTATATAGATACTTAGGGTCTAACCCTACATTTATAGCTTTTCAACTGAACTACAATATCAGGGTAACTCAAATGGTGATAGACAAAGAGTAGAGTAACTCAACTCAACAATATCAAACCTCGTCATTATGGTTCAGGTGCCCATTTTAGTCGGAAACAACTCTCACGGTATAAAAAAAAAGTTTTTTTTTAAAGAATACAAAAAAAGTTTTTTTTTAAAGAATACAAAAAAAGTTCTACAAAATCAATACACATATGGTAACTTTAGTTTTGCATTAAGTTTTCTTTTTAAAGGGGAGAAATTAGTAAATTTATGATAGTGCGAATTCATGATTGAGACATTACCTGAACAGTTAAATGACATCAACGAATAAAGAAAGAGATGTGAGAGGTTATAGTCATTTTAAGGCATAATCAACCATTTTATCGAATGCATAAATATCAGGGAATCAAACCGCGACAATTCAAACCTTGAGCTGTAGATGAAATGTTTCAACAATCAGAAAATAAAAAGTCTGAACATTATATCAACGCATAATTTCAAAAACAGTTAAAAATGAAACGTTGCTTCGTGAATAGCAAGAGTGTATTATATTTGGAAGTATGTTACTGTAAAAGCTATTACTAAAGCCTAAAGGTATTCCAATGTTTTACCTAATAAGCTCTAACATGATGACTCCAAAGTTGTATACATCACTTTTAAAAGTATACCGACAAGACAATCCGACTTCTTGAGCATCGTTTTAGGATCCATCATTATTATTTAATACCTAAATATGAGATAATGGTTAGAACTAATAATTAATATAGTATATGAACAAAATGTCATTAAATACATACATTTAAACACATCAGTGAAAATAAGACTATAACATATAATTGACATGAATACATGAATTACTAAAACCGACATGAACACGTAAAATTTTCATTAAATGTCAATGAAAAATATACCAGCATTAATTTTATAAATAAAAACTATAACCTTAACAAGTCTATATAGATAAGTTAATAGCCCATATTTCCAACTACATTTTCATATGACTGTTAAATATCATGTCTCACACAATTAATTAAATTAACATGTGAATGTATTAAGTATTATCCATATTATAATTTAACATGTTTTAGTGGTTCCTATTTGAAGCCACTTGAAGCAGGGGCCAAATCCACACTTTCTCTAATCAGTAAGCATGACATATGAACTATTCAACTGACTGGTCCATAATTTACTGCTTATAACTTCAACAAACATAAAAGATTAACTACAGTATTCTGCTGAATTTTCCATGCCAAATTGGGAAACTTAAGATTAGTAACAATTTTCCCCTTTTCGTTGACTTCTTCAGTGACAAAAACACAAAAACTTCACAAGTTCAATAATTTTCACAAGTTTATCACCTAATATATTCATATGAGGTATGAATACTTTTCACTTGTACAATTCATATTACAAAAATTGGAGTAAGAATGAAACAGAGAAGACATATGAACTAATTATTACAGCAAGTTATGCATATATCTTATGTTGCTTCCAATTTGAAAGCATCATCATCAAGTAAAGCAACATCCAAACCGGCATTATCAATTTCTTTCATTCTTTTATAAGTCTGCAAGTTATATATTTACTAATATAGCAGTTGAAAAAATATATAAAAACAATTCAAACTCAAATTAGAGCTCATAGAAAGCTACTAATCACATCAAACTCAAATTAAAAACCGTGGAAAATGTTAGTAGCTATGACGGATAAGAAAGAAAACTTGGTAGTGGTTACCAAAGCAATGACCATTAGATTTGAAGAAATTATACATGTACTCCATAACCAAAGGTGTATTCCACAACCAAAGTCCTTTAGTACAGGGTCGATATGTAGATGCTACCTGAAATCCACTACTCCTTCCTAAGAGCTGCAACACAACAACAAAACAAAATAAGCCACAAATCTATAATACGAACTATGGCAGCAAAAAGGTCTAACATATTTAATGTATTTTGAATACCTACTGAAATAATGGCAGTGGAAAAGTTAAATTTCAATCTTAGATACATTAATGTTGCGGTGAGGATAGGATATCAACTTATTAATTAATTTGAATAAGTTTATCCGAAGGAAATGTCAAAGAAAGGAAAAACCTAATTTACATCGTAAACACGATGCAGGGAAAGATCTAAAGTTTGGGGGTTGGTTAAGCTTAGGTAAGGTATTAGCACCCTAAACTTCTATAGTACTCTACAATAACCTCTTGTTTTAATGTTGATATTTTTCTATAATTATCTGTTTAAGGGTATATGCTAAGTGTTAGAAGGTGAAAAGAAAGACCTAAGGGTTAGTCCTAAGTTTACTCGCCAAGACTCACATCTTGTGCCTACGTATCCGAGGTAGGGGATGGAATCAGAGTAATCGTAGTTCCCCTTGAAAAGGGAGGAATAGGAACTTCTTGACTGCGGTCAAGGTTCCAGGGAGAATAAACGTTCGTATGGAAGCGCTTACGTGGAGTGCGGCGACTCCTATTTCTACGTTGTAATTGAATTAAATTTAAAAAGGGTAAGATAGGTATTCCACGGCGGGAAACCTAATAGAGTACAACGACTCCTTATCCTAATTCTAGGGTAAAGGGTAATCTTATCCACGGTGGGACGCCTAAAAGTATGAGTACGGCGACTCAAAGTCTTAAAGTTTGACAGGTGAAAGATGTAAGGGTTAAGGGCTATTGACACGGCGGTCAAACGACTAGACCTATCCTTCGAAGGGGAATTAACGGTAAGTAATATAATGAAAAAAATTATCAAACAACGGTATCGAAATATGGGGAAACGTACAAGAATGAACAATAACGGGATAAGAAGCGACGATGTCCTCGCATAATTTACAACCATGAAAATAAATATCCAAAAGAAATAAAATATCAGTAACCGTGGACTAATGAGAAACAATATTAAGAATGAAATGAAAGTTAGACGATCATCAACGGGAATGTTAGGAATTTTTATTTTAGAATTTTTAGGTTAGGGTTCAATTAGAAATTAAAAGTGAAATCTTAGAAATTTAGGTTAGAAATATTTTTTTAAGAAAAAACTTTATAATTACTTGAAAGTGAGATTAATTTTAATGTTTTTAAAAGGATTAGTAATTATATATTTTTTTTAAAAGCTTTAGTATTAATTTATTTATAAAAAAAAAAGGATTTTAATTTTAAAGAAAAAGTTAATTTTTGATTAGAAAGTTGATTTTTAAAGAAGAGTTAAATTTTCATTTCTTAAGAAAAGTTAAGTTTGATAAAAAACAATTATTAATAAAATTATTACTTATTTACATCTTTTTTTAAAAGTGGTTTTAATTAGAAAACTAAGTATAATTTATGTTCTTTTAACATAATTTTTAATTAATATTGAGACTAATAAAAATCTAAAAATCATAAAAAATAAAATAAGAAAATATAAGAGGGGAAGGGTCAAGTGAAATGTTGGGCAATTGTTAGGGTTTGAAACCCATCCTCTTCTTCTGGCATGCGGCGGCTATGAAAGCTTCCTCTGAGCTTTTTCCACTTCTTTCTTCCTTCCAAAACGTATATCCATGGCTATGACGTTGCTTTGCTCTCCCTTCCTCTTGTGTTCTTCTTTCTCTTTCCTAATTCACTGAAAAACAAAACAAAACATGTGAAAAATGATTTAAGTTGGCTTACGATTTCACTTATTGTCGGCTCAACGGTGGTATTTCTCTGGCTTTCGCGGTGGGTGGTCGGTGATGAGCGAAAGCTCTGAGGCTTGGTGTTGGTTCTGTGTTCACGGCCGGTGATGGACGAACCTGAGGCTTGTTGGTTCGATGTGGTATGCCGATGGTGATGATTCCATGATGATGTTTACATTTGCAGTTGAACGATGATGATGAAGATCTGATGAACTTTTGTGTTGATGATTGTTCTTTGATGACTTACTAGTTGCTGCCGCTGTTGATTTGCTGGGTTTAGGGTTTTTCCAATCTGCCTTCTTTTTGTTGTTGTCCCACTGATGAACAAATGATGATGTTTATAACACTTTTGGGCCTGGATTATGTGTTATAATTTTTTATGATTTTCTGTTTTGATTTGGTTTTGGAACAGAGATTTGGGGATTTGATGTGTTGTTTTTGCGGATTCATGGTTTTTCTATTATTATTCTTAACGCTTGAGTTTATTTTGGACCTAGATGAATCTACAGATTTGTCTCACGTTATTTTCGTCTTGAAAATATGAAATTTGATTGCGGGATTTGTGGATAGGGTTTTGGCTATTTGGATATCCATACTTTTGTGTCTGGATTGGTTTTGGCTGGATCTGGATATCCATATTTTTGAACCGTTGGATTTTTATGATTTGTTTGGCTGAACAGAAAAAATCATTTAAAATAAGCTCTTTTTCAAAACTTTTTCTCTCCTTCTCTCTCTCTCTGGATGCCTTGAACAGATGTTGCCGGATCTGCCGAGGTCGGAAATTGGAGTCGGGAGCTGGTGACATTCACTTGTTGCCCTCCCAACATACCCGATGATGATAATTTATTGAGGGTATCACAACAATAAACAAAACCATTTTTGATAAAATTTAATTCTAACCAAATGACGATTTTTCTGTCGTTCTCTGTTTTGCAGGTTCGAAGATTTCGAAGATAGAAGATCGGACATGAAAATCTCTTAGGAAAAGTTAGGAATTTTTAGAACAATTAGGAGTTTAAATTCAATTTTTATTTCCGAATAAATGTTGTAATAAAAATTGTATAGAACTTGAATAAATAAGTCTCATCTTTAATACAATGAATTCTTATTCTCCGACTCTATTCATCTGAATAAAAATTCAACATCCGACTTCGACAACTAACGCCTTTGCACAATACTGGAAATCCAACGTAACTTATGGGTTCAAACAAATCCTTTGCAAATTAATTCATATTTGACAATAAAATCAGTGAACATGGCCTTGAACAGATAAACAGAGAAATCCAATTTAACGGTAAAACAAACTTTACTCTGCATTCAAAATCCAGCCTGTATCTTGAATAACCTGTCATTGTAACCTGAATCGATTTGACTACTACTCATGATCAAACCAATTGATGTTTGTGATAAACTCAATGCGAACCGAAATTCCACTGTTCCTCTAAAATTGATTTGTAACCAGTAGAAAAACAGGAAAATGTGTTTTGGCTAGAATAAATTCCTTGCAACCGACTCTCTCACAGATTCAACCCGAATTCATTCATATTTCAACGTCCTCAACTCTATACAATTTAGGAAGCAAAGAGAATTTCACAACTCAATTGACGACTACTTATGGTTCTTGAACAAAAATGTACTGTGTCACGAGGTATCTGACGTCAATATTGTTATAAAATTCAACCTATTCTCAGATAAAAGTCGCATGATTTGGAGATAGAAACCCTAATTGTTTGAGGAATCTCTGATGATGACTTTGCCTCGTAATCTTCAATGGACTGCAAATTAATGACCCTTCTACACTTTCTAAATTGAAACGCGCACAGTGTTATCATCCTGCAAAACAACCAGACTGAGCAAGCCGGTTAGCGGTTAGTTAAAATGCAATGCAGAATAAAATGAAATGTGAAATGAACCTAATGATCTAAGGGTAAAATTTGGGGTATGACAATTAAAATTAAGAAGTTGTATTGGAAAATATTCTCATGAAAGTATAGAATTCTAAGGTACAAAAGTAAGTTCCAAAGTATCTCTCTTCAATTTATACTAGAGATTATCCTCGGAGTTTCACAATCAATCATATTACAGTACTCAACCATATATAAAACAATATTCTTAACCAGGTATGACTTATTAGTGCGGGGAGTTATCAAGAAAGAGATTTCCAAAAAGAATGTTGACGATACAAGTAGTTAAACAAACATATAAAAACTAAGCACCCACATCAACTTCAAACTCAATGCTTTACCTATAGTGTATGGCATCAGGTATGTGCCATTGTAAAATTTTCAATGAGGTCCAGAAGGAAACAATCATCTAGACACTAACTATTGTAGTTAATAAGCAAACCAGCATACAAACTCAAAATGAAGATCCACTTCCTCACTGTAGTCAAACATAGTAAAAAAAAATCCCCCAGCAACTAGGTTTTAAATAGCGTAATTTGCAATCAAAATTTTAACTAGAAGACTGAAAAATCATATAATTCTCCCAAAACTAATTAAAACGTAACACACATTAAACCCAACAAAAATCTACAATAACCACACTGAATACATCATAAAACCCTAATTACCAATAAACACACCAGAACCCAAACCAAAACCCTAAACTCCCAAAATAATGAAAGTCTACTGAAATTGGAACAAAAGGAGAGAATAATCACCTGATTCAAGATATAACTCTTTCCCTGTCGAGCACGACCACAAACGCAAACAACACCGATGGGCTCTTTGACTAGTTGAAGTGTGGCGACGGCTTCCGGATCCATCTGCAACCTTCCTTTTTCATCACAGTAGACGAAACTATAGACCTCGGGGGGAATGGTGTACTGAGAAGCCCAAGATGACAACCTCACCAGCGGAGAAGGTGGTGAGGCATCAGCGGGATTGTCCTCTCCTCTGTTAAATATATTGAATGAACCTAGTGAGTGAGCGTGTGTACTGTAATGGATATATTGTAATTTTTTAAGTTTGTTCATTTGTTCAGTTGTATATTGTATTAAAAAAAGAAATTAAAAATAAAATCATTCTTTAAAATATTACCAAGTGTGATTTTTTTTTTAAACCAGCTATGTATTATAAACAAAATAGCATTTAAATGCCATTTTCAAAAAATTTACGAAAGCAACTACCTTTCAACATGCAGTCGCCAATTCAAATGGCGAAATAGGCAAAAGGCAAAAAAATGACTTCAACAAAGTCACCAATTCAAATGGCGAAATTGGCAAAAGTGAAAGAACTCGCCATCCCATTTCAATTACCTATTAAATACATTAGTTTATTATTAAATTTATAAATATTTTAATTATTAATTAATAAATCTTTTCAGTAAATTATGTTGTTTGGTTTTGCATAATAAATTGAAATTTAAATAATCTTAAAATAAAATAGAATTGTAAAAAATATTAAAATATATTAATTTACAATATAATGAAAGTTACAACAACAACAAAAAAATTAATGGTCGGCTCTATCCAAGCGACCACCGGTGCCACACTGTGGAGGATGCGCGCTGCGACGAGGTTGTTGTGGTGTGTCGGGTCGTTGTGTGTTGAGTTGTGGAGGAGGATGTTGTTGGGACGGCCCTAGCGTATCAGATAGATTTTGCAGCATTTGATCCCAATAGCCGGGAGGTCCACTGTCAACGGTGCCGCCGTAGTCAACCCCAATGCCCATGTTTTCGAAGGATTGTCGGGGAGGTTGGGTGGAGTATGGACGGTATGGTTGTCCAAATGTGTACATGGAATTGGGTTGGTCTAGGTGTGTTGGTTGTTATGGGGTGTGGTAGTCAAATAGTGGATAGTTGGAGGGGTAGTTGGAGGGGTAGTTAGAGGGGTAGTTAGAGGGGGTAGGGTCAAATGAGTTGTCTGGGCTATAAGTGGAGGGGGTAGGCTCAAAAGACATATCAGGGCTATAATGGTATGGTGGTTGAGGTTGGGACTGGGTGGGTGGCATGTAAGGATGTTGTGTTGATAGGGGGTATTTGTTGGCATGTATGGGTTTTCGTAAGGCTGATTTTGGGCGCTGAACTCTTGTTATATGTTTGACGATGAAGCGCGTTCCCTTGGGTCAACCAAATAGGTTGGCTGAGACAGGAAAGGCTGAGATGTCGTGACAGACCTAAACCAAGTTATATATTGAAGACGGGACTTACGTTGGTGGAAATGGAATTTTTCACAGAGTCTTTTGGGCGTTCGAACCATGCATCAAAGGGTTTGCATATTATAAGCCAATAATTCAAATTGACGGAACATGGTTATACGAGAAATATAAGGGCACACTTCTCATGGCTGTGGCATAGGACGGGAACAACAACATTTTTCCAATAGCCTTCGCTATAGTAGAAGGGGAGACTGCTGGGGGTTGGAGTTTTTACTTAAAAAATCTCCGCTGTTACGTGTCTCCCTAACCAAACTTATGTTTGATCTCTGATCGAAGCCCATCAATCGAGAGTGCATACAACAACCATGACAACGGTTGGAAAGATCCACCCTCGACCCATGTTTATTGCATAAGGCATATTGCCCAAAATTTCATGCGGGAAATCAAAGATAAGATGCTACGGAAGAAGGTTGTGAACGCAGGATATGCACTAACTAAACCAACATTCAAATACTACCGTGACGAGATCAGACAAACAAACGCGGATGCATTACGATGGATTGATAACATTGATCGAGAGAAATGGACACGGGCATACGACAATGGGGTGAGATGGGGCCACATGACAACTAACCTCGTCGAATTAATGAATTATGTTTTCAAGGGAATCCGAAACCTCCCAATAACTGCCTTGGTAAAGGCAACCTATTTTAGGCTAGGATCACTCTTTGATAGTAGACGTACGAAGTGGTGCTCGGTATTACAATCGGGCCAATTGTATAGCGATACTTCAATGAAATTCATGAAAGATGAAGCTGTCAAAGCCAACACACGCGTGGTCACAATCTTTGATCGTACAACTGGTTGGTTCAGTGTTGCCGAGTCTATTGATCACAACAAAGGAAGCCCTAGGAGATGTTACCGTGTTGAATTAGATAAGAGCTGGTGCGATTGTGGAAAGTTTCAAGCATTCTGTATGCCTTGCTCTCATGTCATAGCAGCATGTTCAAAGGCGCGCCAGGACCCAATCAACCTTCTTTCTGCAGTTCACCAAGTGATAAGTCTATGCAATGTTTACACATGTTGTAACACCCCGATTCTGATTTTCCAATTTCGTTGAGTCTTTTGATTTATTTGAGTGATTAATATTCTAATTGTGAAATTGATGTGTTAATATGTTATGTTTGCATATTATGCTATTTTACCGATTTTGAGAGTTTTCGGGGAAAATAGATTGGAGGGTATTTTAGACATTAAGTAATTAATGTTAAGTTGGATATTTTGTGAGAAGATGGAATTGGTAGATATTTTGAGAGAAGAAAATAGAAGAGAAAGGGATATAAGGGAAAGTGGAAAGAAAAGAGATAGAAAGAAAAGATAGAAAGGAAAGAAGGAAAAGAGTAGAGAAATAAAGAGGAAGAAGAGAAATGAGAAGGAAAAGAGGAGAAAAAGCTTGGAATCATCAAGAACATTTGTAGAGTTCGATTATTCGGGTAAGGGTGTGAAATTTTATTATCTTAGCAATGTGTATGATTATGTATGTGTGCGTTTGGTTTGTTTGGGCGTTTTTCTACATTTTCCATTCTAGGGCAGAAATGGGTTTAACCAATAGAAACCGGTGTTTGAACGGTTAGAATCTGGAATTAATAGTGTAGTTTAGTCGAGGATTGTTGGGCTAAGACTACTAGAACTTGTAGGTTTTGAATCGGGCGATTTTATGAGTTTCGGATGATTTTGGAAACTTGAAGGTTTTTGACTACGCAAACACTCGCTAGCGTGTTCGCTAGGCGAGTGAGTAGTGAACGATTCCAGTAGCCAAAATCAGCCTTCGCTAGCGTGTTCGCTAGGCGAGTGAAGTAGCGAGGGGTTTGCTAGGTGAAGCCCCAGCGAGTGGGTAGCGAGCACTTCCAGTAGCTCCCAGACTCCCTTTCCGAGCTTGTTCACTAGGCGAACCAGTAGCGAGTGTTCGCCAAGGACTCGCTAGGCGAGTAGTGTAGCGAACGTGACAACATTCTTATTTCTTGTTGTGTTTCCATCCAATGTTGATACTTTGATTCTTCAACGTATAGCTTGTGTGCTGTATTATGATATACTGTGGGTAGCCGTATGGCATGAATCCTAGATTATGGAATCGGTTGTGAAATGTGGCCTTTTGGCAAATATACATTGTTTAAATTGATTAAAAGCGTATGATTATTGTGATGGAGTTCGTTGCCGCTGGCGCGATATTGTGAATGTATATTAATTATATGCGATTGTATGTGGAGAATGCATGAATATGTATTTGTGATTGAATCTATTTGATTCTTGTATACTACTTGATGAATGTAGTGATGATGTTGAAAGTATGAATACTTTGATGAGATGTGTTGTGTGTGCAATCATGTTATAATTCTTGTGTGATGAATTATTTGAGTATGCATGAGATTAAGATGCGAGAACAGTCTTAAGTGCATATGATTGTTGATTGCATACGCATCATTTGTTGTCACGAGGCAATGCTTGCTAGTCTCGTGGAGGCTAGTGACTTGTCCCAAACCTAGAGAGGGGTTTGAAAGCTTAGAGGACGGGATTTTTTTTGTTATTGGTCTAGAGGTCGGACCCGGTTTAAATGTAAAAATCGAAAAATGATAACAAGTGTTAGTACCACATGGCATGAGTTGCATTGAGTTGTATTGAGTCTCATGGCATAGATGATTGTTGTATGAAAGTATGCATATATGTATGAATTGTTGAACTGAGAGTTGTGAATTGGTGAATAAACATAATTGTAAATGTTTATGTGGAAATGATGTGAATTGTGGATATATGCATGATAAATATGCTTGGTGTTATATATATATATATATATATATATATATATATATATATATATATATATATATATATATATATATATATATATATATATATATATATATATATATATATATATATATATATATATATATATATATATATATATATATATATATATATATATATATATATATATATATATATATATATATATATATATATATATATATATATATATATATATATATATATATATATATATATATATATATATATATATACTTTATTAAGAAATGTGGTGAGAACGTAGAGTATGTATATTTTTATGTTACTGTACATATATAATTATATGCATTGTTATTATGGTAATATTTCTCACCCTTCTGCTAGAATGATGTCCTATCTGACATCTTGCAGGTATCAAGAGTAGAGCTGCTTGTAGTTGCGTGGTCACTGTTGGTGTAGCTATTTAGTATTTTAGTTATGTTGGGTCGAGTCGTGCTCTGGTTATGTAACACTGGGATCATTTGGTTTATATTTTAGAGATGCATTATATACTCTATGTTATGTTTTATATTCATTGGAATATTGTGATGTTGGCCTTAGTGCCTAAGTAATGTTGAATTATGTGATGAACATGAATGTTCTGTTAAGAGAGTTATGATATAAATTGAATCCGCTGCTACATGCAAAAGTGAAATTTTGAAAAGCATGATTATTTATTAAAGTGTTAATGAGCATGACAGGTGTTTTTAATGTTTTGAAAGTTATGTGTGACACCCTTTTTCTAATGCATGATGTTTTACTCTGATTATTTATATATATTTCTGCGGGGTTTAAAAGGGTGTTACATAAGTGGTATCAAAGCAGGTCGGTCCGTTCGGCCAAGTTGTCTAATGTTGTTTGTTTCCTAGTATGTGAAATGTGTGTGAAAACACTGTCGGTACGCGTTTATTTTTCTAAACCTTGTCTGCAGGAGTGAGATTGAAATAAGTGGGGGAGAAGCTTGTGCTTTTCCAGGATGCTTCGAGTGTAGAGTGGTGGCTCGGTATGTTGTTGAACGCTATAATAGTTTGGT